GAAGTAGCTAAGAGAATACGCCATCCCCTTTTCCTTATGACTCAGGGTGAAGTCTCTCTCAGGGAGGAGTGATAGGGAATGGCAAAGGACACACTGACAAAGAAGATTAATCAGAACTGGCTTTGACAAGCACTGTGACATTTGGACAAGAACAAACTGCGAGGAGGGCAGAGAGAATGGTGCAACAATGAATGAATGGAAACCCAAAATCCCTGTAAATGTTTATGAAAATTAATAACATATAATTATAGAAAAAAAAAAGAATCTTTTTTTTCCTATCACAGTTTAGGGGGCTAGAAGTCTGAACTCAGGATGCCCACTCGAGGGGGAAACTTTCTTTTATTTCCTATCTTGGGGGGGGGGGTCCCTGACCTTGGCTTCCTTATGGACATCATCAGTATCTATCTTCCCCATCTCAGCTCACTCGAGCCACACTAAAACTGCCTTATGATCATTACAAAGGAAATTCATCCCCAGATGGATTAAAGTCACCAGAAGTTATCATTGACTTGATGGTACTTGATTTTCACGCTCTGTCTGACAGGTTGCTGGTGTTGTTATATGCCCTTGAGTTGTGAGTCCCAGCTGCCCTGCCAGTGGATTTTCAGAGGGAGTACATTGCATGGGAGGAGACTGCTCTTTCTCCCAAAGAGCGGCTGGTGGATTTGAACTACATGCTTAGGGTTTGTCAGTGCAGCTCCTTACCAGTCAGCCACCAGTGCTTCCTAGGGAATTGCACTGCTAATTCAAAGGCCACTCTTCTCTGGGGGTTCAAATAAATCAATCAGAGGCTGTACAGGGGAATGATGGGCAATCTCCTTCCCAGGCATTACAGTCTTGGAAATCCAACCGAGGATGGCAACCGAGGACGGGGTATGGGTTTGTTTAGGGTTCCCCCCACCACCAGATGTTAGAGGGCACATTCCAATTTATAACATTTTCTAAGAGAAACATTTAATTTTTAAAATAGGAACAGTGACTGCTCTTTTTAACTATTCATTATGCAAACACAAAGTGCCAAGTATTACTGCCTTCTCAGAAATTACTGTCTTCTCAGGGCTTTGCCAAGAAGTGCATGTTTGTAGGAGGTACAAAAGTAAAAGAAAAACCACATGTCCGGTTAAGGAGAGGCAGTGGTCTGCTTTGTAGAATAAGGGGTGTATGTACGAGTCATGGAAGATAAAGCTCGAAATTCAAGCGTGTCCAAATGACTCAACCCAGCCTTCTATTCAGAGAGGCAAGGCAGAGCCCTGTTTAAGAGCACAGGCTGAATAACTGGGTTCCAGCCCCAGTTCAAATAGTAAGCAAGCTCTCTATGCTTTTGTTTCCATACAGGTCAACCAGAAACAAGTTTCCATCAAGTAAATGCCAACTCATGGAGATGCCACATGTATCAGAGGAAGACTTTGCTCCATGGCTGTGTCTTTGGAAATGGGAGGTTCAATCATCTCTATCTTCTAGAGCATCTCTGGGTGGATTTTCATTAGCACCTGAGCACTGTAAGTGTATTTCTCACTAGGAACCCTTCCATGTAGGTAAAAAGGTGATAATAATGATTCCTTACTATAAGGGTGATGTAATGATTGAACGAATTACCACCCACAAAGCAATTAAACAGTACCTGATTAGAAGAAGTCCTACTGGTATAGTAACTTGAGGTAACTTATGGTTTCTGTGAAGCTGAACTCTGTGACACTGATGTGTCAGATGTGATAACGGTTACCCATGGCGGACAGTATTTGGTGGAGCTCCCTGATTAAAACAAGCTTGGAAGCAGGAGTGGCATCCACTTCCACAATAGCTTGCCTCCAGAAACCCTATGAACCTGGAGAAAGGATGAAAGTCACCTAAGTGTTGAGGACTTTTGTTCACAGGGTCGCTATGAGTTGTCTAAGACTCAACGGCACTTAAAAACAACAACAACAACTGGTATAGTGCATAGAAGTCCACTAGGTGCTCCAAAGGATAAAGCTGGGTGGTCTCCTCTCCTAAAGATTTACAGCCTCAGGAGCCTGAGGAAGGTCACTGGGAGTCAGACCGGAATCGACAGCAGGGGGTGAATTATAAGAAAGCATGCCTAAGTGCAAAACATTCTATTGTAATTGTCAGCATTAATCTGGTGGATTAAGCATCGACCTTTAACTGAAAGGCGAGTGGTTTGAACCTACGAGCAGATGTAGCAGGCTGTTTCTGTAAAGATTGACAGGCTTGGAAATCCTATGGGGCAGTTCTGCTCTAATGGAGGGAGGTTGACTTTGAGCAAATATTTTCGCAAATGTTTTGAAGTTTTGAAATATTTGAAAAGAACCTGCTCATATGTGAAACTGGAAGGCAAATCTTGTTCTGCATTTTCTGGGCTGTTGAGAAGTTCAAATCCATTTTGTCAGTGGGTAAAACTCTTTGGAAGCTACATTGAACTCTGATGCTTATGCAGGAAGCTCCTCCCACCTCCAGCAAAGAATTACCCCAACCCAAAATTCTCACAAACTCTACTCCAGACACATGAATAGGTTCGTCTTGGAGAGGGGTGAAACCAAATTGCTCCTTGGAGGCAAGGATTTTGAAGCTCCGTCTGACATACTCTGGGCACGTGGCGAGGAAGGACCAGTCCTTGGAGAGGGACCTCATGCTTGGAAGGGTAGAGGGACAGAGCAAGAGAGGAAGACCCTTGACTCAGTGACTGGGGTAATGGGGTAGGAGTGTCAGAGACAACAAGGTTGGCCCAGGATAAAGTAGAATACAGAGCTGTTGGATGCAGGGTCACCGTGAGTTGCAAGCAATTTGATGGCACATAACAACCACAATGACATTGGTATTACGCATGTGTATATATAACACAAAAGTTAACACTTTGTAATCAGGGAGCTCTGATGGCCTAATGGATAAGGAGTTGTGCTGCCAACTCATAGGCAGATGATCCAGGCCCACCACCTACTCCATAGGAGGCAGCTGGACAATCTCTTCCTGTGCAATTTACAGTCTCTGAAAACCCATTGGAAGGTGGGTTAGGAGTCTGTTCCAACTTGACAGCAATGGGTTTCTGAGCTTGGACGTACAATTGGGAATCCTGACAGGACTGTGGTTAAGTGCTCAAAGGTCAGCAGTTGGAAATCCCCGCACTGCTTGGGAGAAAGCTGTGACAGTCTGATTCTGGAAACCCGACGTGGTAGTTCCACTCTGCCCTGTGGGATCCCTGTGAGTTGCAATCCATTCTGTGGCACACAACCACCAAGTGCAATTGCTTAATAAAGCAACCACACAGATAGCATCCTCTCGCAGCGATCTATTTAGCAATTGTTTAGACAACTACTTCATCCCTCTAGGCCTGTTTCTCCTATTCATAAATTTGGGGTTGGGCCAGGTGAGCTTTAGACTATTCCCTGCTCCACCACCATGTGCTCTGGTTCCAGGACAGGAAACTTCTAGTCCATTTATTTTACATGAGGTGACTTTTAACCTACACACCATGCAGCTACTTTCACACAATTATTGACAAGCCTCAGGTACAATGGCAATCTGGCTCCCAGTCATGCTTTGACACTTGCTTAATAACCAACTCCAGGTCCTTAAACCAAAAAAACCAAACCCACTGCCCACAAGCCTGGTGGCCAAGGCTGCAAATCCGTTTGATGCCAACTGCCACGACTTTCTCCCACTCAGCAGCTGGCTGCCATGTCTGTCTTCCACCAAGTGGCTAGAAGATCCAAACTGCCAACTTTTACGTTTGTTACTGAGTACGTTAATCTTTGCTCCATCAGGGCTTATTCCAGGTCAGGGTGACACCGTGGTCCACAAGGTTTTCCATGACTGAAGTTTTGGGGAAGGTGGATTACCAGGCCTTTATTCTGAGGCATCTTTGGGTGAACTTGGACCTTTAACCTTTCCTTTAGCAGCTGAGAATGTTGATCATTTCCAGGTGGCCTAGTGGTAAGAAGATACACTACAATCTCAAAAGTACTTGGTTTGAATCCATCAGCTTCTCCACCGGAGACAGGTGGCAATCTCCTCCCATGCAATTAACTGCCTCTGAAAACCAGCTAGAGGGTTGACTCTGGGTTGGTTCTGACTCAACGATACACAACAACCGTTGGGGAAGAGGACTCCCAGTGGTGGTGTGGATAAAGCATTTGGTCACTAACCAAAAGCTCAGCTAGTGGATACCACCCTTAGCCTTCTGCAGGAGAGGAGAAAGAGGAAGAAATCCACATCTATAAAAATTTATGGCCTAGTGAACCAAACTGACAGTTCTACTCTGACAGGGGCAGGGATACATTTGAAAGCAAGTGGTGTTTCTCCTGAATGCCTTCAGTTTATCCTTCTGCTTGAAATGTCAAACTTAGTTAACTGCAATTTACAAAGAAAGCAAAGGCAAAGAATTCAGTCACTCAAGGGACTAGAGATCACAGCAGGTCGCATCCCACAACCACTCTCTTCCCCCCCATAAGCCCAACTCCACGCCCCTCTGCACCACAGGTCCCGAGTCTTTTCTAGGTTCCATTTATATTCAAATGTTAGAGTACCACCTACCTACCCACGAAGGGAGATTCATGTCCCTTGCAGATAGGTCACTTTGTACATGGACCTAAGAATCAGTAGATATCATTTTAAACTATAACTCTCCCTTCTAACAAATCTTTTCTCCCGCGGGACTGAACTTGGATGACCTCCCAGCTCCTTTTGATCTGTACAGGGCAGATATCATTTTAAACTATAACTCTCCCTTCTAACAAATCTTTTCTCCCGCGGGACTGAACTTGGATGACCTCCCAGCTCCTTTTGATCTGTACAGGGCAAGGGGCACCGCCCCTGCTCTGGGCCCTGGGGGCCTGTGCTCATCCCAGAGTTCCTTCCGGGCTCAATGAACCTGCCCTGTCCCTCCTTACGGGGCAGCGTGTCGCCTCCTGGGCTGCAGCCCCGTCCAGCCTGCTGGAGGTTTGGGTCCCCGGCGCGCTCCAGCCCTCCACCCCCACCCCTGCGCCCCCAGCCAACCAGCAGCTTACCTGGTCCAGCAGCCGGTAGATGCTGATGCCCAAGGTCTCCACCAGCAGCTGCCAGTCGGCCCCGGCCAGCACCGGCTGCTGCAGCTCAGCACAGGCCTCCCGGAACTGCTCCTGCGAAAAGCCGCCTGTTACCGGTTCCATTCTTCCGCCCCTGGGACTACTCTGCAAGGACTGAAGGCCACTGACAACAAACAAAGGTGTGGGCTCAGGGGCGGGACCAGAGGGCGGTCCCGGCGTGATTGGCAGGAAACAGGAGCATAGGAAGCAGTGGAACCTTGAGGGAGGCGGGGCCTTGGTGGGCGGGCCTAGGGAGTGGGCGGGGCTGAGAAATAGGTAAAACTAGAGGAAAATTGGACTTGACTTGGGAAAAGTGGACTTGAAAGGAAGTTGGAGGACAATGAAAACACTTTTAGAGGGAAAGAAAAGGAAGAGGAAGGGAGGCACTGCTGTCACCTCAGAAACCTTGTCAATGGCCCATTCATTAATACCTACTCCTACCCTCCAAACTTTTCTTGGATACTGACCCTTTTTTTATAACAACTCATTACCCTGAGTGGATTCCTCCAACCGGTTTCCGAGGCCGTAAATATTATGGAGGAGCTTGTCATGGTTTTTTCAATCATTTGCTATGCATTTTAAAAGATGAACAATGAAAAAGGCTAACAGGAGAAGAATTCATGCCTTGTTCTGTGATGTTGGAGAAGATGCTGATATATCCCATGGACTACCAATATAATGAACAGATACGTTGGTGTTTCCACTTGGCCCAGTCTTGTGAATCTTTGTCTTCTTGATGTTGAACTTCAATCCTGATTGAAGACTATAATACTTGACCTTCTGCAGCAAGCGCTTCAGGTCCTCCTCAGTTTCAGTAAAAAAGGTTGTGTCATCTGCATAATGAAGGTTGTTGAATCTTCCTCCGTGTACACTTCAGTATATGTACAAGGCTGAAACTCTATACTAGTTTACTTGTTGAACTTTCTAATGCTCCCACCATGCTGGGAAAGGAGAAGAAACAGCCAAAAAGAGGAAGACCCTGAACAAGATGGATTGATTCTGTGACTATAACAATAGGCTCAGTGTATCAGAGATGGTGTTGGATGACTCAGGATAAGGCAAGGTTCAGATCTGATGTTCTGGAGTCACTATGAGTCATAGTTAACTTGGTGGCATCTAACAGCAACAATGCTGTCAGGTCACAACTGTCATTATTACCCAATTACAATGACACTTTAAGCATATGATTTCATTTTTCATGAACTAGAAGCATATGCTGCTGTTTTAATTGCTGCGAGTGTAAAGGTCTTTGGAAACTATCAACTTTGATAAGTGTCGATAGCTGTAGAGGGGCTTCAAGCCTTTTGTGCATAGGTTCACTATGAGTCGTAATCGACTCGAAGTCAATCAATGACAACAACAACAAGTATAAAGCTATGAATCCACCAGCTGCTCTGTGGGAGAAAGATGGGCAGCCTCCTCCCATTCAATTTATTGCCTCTGAAAACCCACTGGTGTAAGGGAGTTCTGGTGGCCTAGTGGCAAGGAGCTGCAACTGCAATCCCTGAGGCGCACGGGTCGAGTCCACCAGATCCTCTGCTGGGGAAGGAGGGACAATCTCCTCCTGTACCAGTCAGATCTGATTTGATGGTACACTCACACAAAAATAACAAAATTTAAAAAAAATTTTTTTTTGAGAAAAAAAAGAAAACCCACTGGTGGATCAGCTATGGTTTGATTTTAACTCAGTAGTAAAGAACAACAACAATGATCGTGTTGATTTGTCTGGTGTTTAACCTAGAGTGTTCTGGTAATTAGTATTCATGAACCTATATCCATAACTTTTGAGAATTAAGTGCCAATGAAAAGAAACAAGGAAAATGTTGAAATGAATCATGTTGTAATTCCATGTAGAAAGATGTTGCAAAACAACCTTGTTAATACTGATACAATGAACCGGGCAGTATTTTGTTTTGTTTTACAGTGGACCTCCAAGAGGTGGAGATCTGACAGCATCTAAAAGTATTCAGATAATCTAGGAAATATTACATTTAAACAATTTACATTTATTAACACTTTAGTCTATGATCAGCATAGATAATAAGCATTACTCAGAATTCTATATTATCAAAGGGGGCAGTAAGACTAGGGGTTTAGAAGTTGATCCCATGAGTAACAGCACTTGGTGATGTCAACCCTAACAATGTCACTATCCTAAAAGGAAGGAAAGAAAAAGGCAGCTGAAAGAAACCAAACCCCAATTCTATGCCAGAACTGGGATCCAGTTACATTAGCTGCACTAAAAGGAAGCCAGAAGCAGAGAAACTGACATAAAATCTATTTCAGGACCATTGGAACTCCTGGGACCCTTTCAGACCAAAGCCAGGGACACTTTGACAACCAGCATACAGAAAGTGTCACAGAGAAAACAATGCCACAGATGTATGTCCTAGAAATGAATTGGAATGACCTGAAGAAGCTAATCTCCATGTGAGATAATTAGATGTCCAGACAAGATGATCAGAAACGCAGAACAACATATAAAGGGTGATTACAACATATATAGAGTGATTATTTAATATGTGTTTATAATCATTAAAGAGGTGGCACAGAGTTAAAATGCTTTGCTGCTAACAACAACAACAAAAAGCCAATGGTTTGAACTCAAACTTATTGCCAATAAGTGGTTTCAACTTATATGTAGTCCTGTGTCAGGCTTCTGATGCTGTAAATCACAATAGGAGGAAATTGCCCATAGTTTTTCCCTGTGGAGCCTCTGGTGGTTTAAATCACCAGAAATGCATGACCTGAGCACAACTACACCACCAGCAGCCTCATAAGGACTTGTGCGCTTAACCCAAAGGCAGCGCCTCCCTGAAGGTTTGAATCCACTGGTGCTTCTGAAGGGTAAAGATGGGCAATTTCCTCTTGTGTGATTTACAGCTTCCAAAAACTTGATGCAGGGTCAGCTGTGAGTTATTTGAATTGTGATGCTGGTGAAGAATGCTAACCAAACATAGATTGGAAAAAGAATAAACAAATCTATTCTACATAAAGGCAACCAGATGGTTGTGATGTCAAGGGTTTGTTGTTCAAAATGGCTTTCCTAGCCATTAACTTTGACTTTGCTTCATGGATGGTAGGGATAATACAAATAGGGTGTGTTAGTCTATCCACAACCTGTCACAAATTATTGTTCTGGATCTTCAAGTTAGAATCGACCCATAGCTGACCATCCAGCGGGTTTTCAGAATCAAATTACACAGGAGGACAAGGGATGCAATGGATTCAAACTGCATGCCTTCGGGCTAGCAGTGTGGTTTCTTACCACTAAGCTACTAAGCCAGGGCTCAGTCACAAATTATTGAGAAGCAATATAGTCTTTCCAAGCACTTGCTACGTATCTGAAAGCTGGACAATGAATAGGGCTGATGGAAGAAGATTTAATGTCATTGATCTGTGGCATTGGAGAAGAGTACTGAATATCCTGTGGACTGCCAAAAGAACAAATAAATGTCTCAGACAAAGTGCAGCCAGAGTGCTCCTTGGCGGCAAAGATGATAAAGCTTTGTCTCACAGACTACAGGTATGTTGCTGGGAGAGGCTGTTCTTTGAAGAGTAGCATCATCCTTAGAAGGTGGAGGGTCAGTAAAAAGGAAGACCTTCAACCAGGTAGATTGACACAGTGATGCAGGTTCAAGTATATCAAAGTTGATGAGGACAACACAGGATAGGACAGGGTTCAGATCTGTTATTCATAGTGTCACTATGGGTCATACTCAACAGCACCTAATAACAACAGCAACAAGTCTATTTGAGCAGATTTAGCAACAGGATTTGGGAATCTCACCACTAGAAAAGCAGCAGCAGAGAAGGTAGCTTGCATCCTTCAGGACCAGAGATTCCTGTAGCACTCAAATTGAAGCCCACAGGAGCAAGAGCAGCAGCCGCAGCAGAGAAACAGAGACCTGATGTGGAACAGAGCTAACCTTGGGACTGCTATCCCACAGAACCAGAGCTAGGAGCCTTCGCCCAAGCTTGTTGGGAGTACTAGGAGAAAGAAGCCTTAATTAGCAGGACCAAGAGCTTTGCAACACTTTCCTAAAGGTTGAGGCACCTGCAAGCACACTTCAGAAGCTGTCCTGACTGAGCTGTCCTCCAAGTTGAAGCCTTTTTGACTTCCATAAATAAACTCATAATCATGGATATGGATATGGTTCTGTATAGTCTGGGTAGCGATTGCAGTGGAATTTGGACCTAGTAGAGAAGTAGGATTGGACTTAGAATAGTAGAAAGGGGTGTGATGGGGTGGGGCATGTCTGATCTTATAGGAATTGGTTTGTAAAGGTCAGACTCAGCTGACCCCATGCCTCTTTTCCTCTTTTTATAATGTTGAAACTTAGTCTGACCTATATGGGGCATGTTATTAGAATAGAATGCCTTCCTGGGCATGTCACCAAATCCTTGGAAAAAGTCACCACACTGGAACAAGTGGAGGGTCAGCAAAAGAAAAAAACCCCTCAGTGCAGTGAACTAACACAGTGACTGTAACAATGGCAACTATATAGTAGAGTAGTGGTTATTAGGGTGGTGTAGGATAGGGCATTTTCTATCTGTTGTTTATAGAGTCACGGTGAGTCATAGTTGACTCAATGGTACCTGACAACAATCACCACAGTATTTGGTATTTATAAAATAAAATGGATAGCTCAGAAAACTAGGTGTATTTGAATCCTGTAAGGGATCATAAAATCATCATCTCCCTTCCTTCCAGAGAGAGGATTACCACACGTGAGGTGGATATATTGTATTACCAAATCCCTTCCGCTTCCCTGACTGCTCATCACAGGGAATCTGAGTTCAGCGCTGGGGCATTTTAGCCCCAGAGGCTAGGGTTTCACCCAGGTGACGATCCCATACTACAGGGCTTCCCTCTCATACTAATCAGCACAAATCTCAGAGTCTTTTCTTCCTGTACTTGGAATCGTCTTGTTACGATGGACATCTCAAGTTTGGGTTGGATAGCTGGCTGTCTTTCTCCAGCAAGTGCTGGCTGCTCTGAGCACCGTTAGCAGACTTAATTGAAGTCCATTTCACCTAGGGAAAAACCTCAATCAAGTGCCTTCTATAGCAACCTCATGAGGTC